GCTCGTTTATCGTCCACAGAACGAGACTGCACGCCGACATTTTCAGAACAAAATAAAAATGGTGCAGTGAGAGTCTCTTTCGATTGGATATTCAAAATAGCAGGTCAGAGTTGCCATATTGAAATTCAAGGTGTGTTGATAGATTCATGTCTTCAACTCACATATTAAGAAACATGCAAAAAACACTCCACCTTAAAAGTTGCCATCAGTCGGCCCAGCAAATTAAATTATTTTTGTCTCAGTCTATAGCTGCTTACTGTTAACTAGTAGAGATGAAAAGGCAGCAAAAATCCTTTCATTCTCAAGTAATAGTTTACTAATGTATGTAAAACTTGCTGCTGTATGAACAATCACTACATAAGCTTCAAAACCAGCCACAACTCAGCCCTGAGCAGAGTGACGGTTCTCTATTGACCAATCAACAGACAGGAGTGTTTCTTTTAGCGCCGGATCTATATGCTAGGTACCTCAAAAGAGGGCTGACGAAAAATGAGAACGTTTCTGTTGGTACCATCCACAACTTTTCACAACAGTACAAAACTGAATCCGTCTGCTTGGTAGAAACAAGATCTATATTGTCATTCAGTTAACGGGTCTTAATTCAATCATGTACGACGTCACATAGAAATAAATTCACTCTTGGAAAACTTAGAAAAGTTTCTCTCAGAGTGTGTGTATGTAAATCAGTGTGCCAGTTTTGTGTGTGTGTGTGGATCACAGGTGTGTGTGATCCTCCGCAGTGGGACACTGATACAGCGGTTAGAGGAACACATAAAAGACTGATGCCTGCACAGCACACATACTCCCACACACTCACTCAAATGTATTCCTATACTTGTGAAGACCATCACTGAGCACAACACATTAATGTTGGTTTTAACCCACACACAGCATCTTGAAGAAGCGAGGACACGACTAAACGTCCTCACTTTCCAAAATGTCCCTATACTGTTGTGGTCTAACACTGGTCCCCACAAAGACTGAAGGACAGACACACAGACACAGACACAGACACAGACACACACACACACACACACACATTCATGTCTCTCACGCTTGTCTGTCTAGACATCTTTAATATTGGAAGCAGGTCCTGCTTTGTCTCCATCTCTGTGTGTGTGTTTGTGTGTGTGCTCATGTGGCAACTTAGTGAGCTGCCAAGTTTGTCTCATGCCAAACACACCCCCTCCCCTCCCCTCCGTCACGGTGACCGGTGCTTGTTGCCAGATAATTGCGTCCTTGTCATAAAAACCTCACCAGGAGCGATGACAGAGGAGGGGTAACGGCTGCCATTTCAAAGGCCTGACCTGCTCTTTCTGTTACGGTGCTTAAATATGCGGGGATGAGCCTGCGCCTCCAGCAAACTGTTTGCAGGGATGCAGTCAACAGAGCACACTGTATGGACACGTCAAGTACAATCAGTGTGATTAATGCTAAAGTTGAGGCAATTATAGGAGTTTAGAGGAATAAAGTGGATGTCAGAAATGTTTACACATCGATTCAGAGAATAAATGATTTCACTCAACTGTGCAGCAAAGTAAAAACAATAGGAATATCTTTTAAAATCCAATACTATCCACTTCTTACAACTTCTACACGACTAAAGCATGATTCATTCTGCGCTGAATCGACGCCGGACCTAGGGCGTAGCCTCAGGTGCACCTCTCCAGAAATGTAACTACAAGTTGCAGTGACGCAGACCTCCTGTCTGTCTCTGTAACCATTTCCCTCAGTGGAAACAAAGCTTTTATTTACTTTTATTTCACAGATAAGAAACAATAAATTGTGAAGACAAAGCCTCCACAAAATAGCATTTTAAGTCTTGTGCTAATAACGTTAGCATGTTATATTTGTTTGGAAAACATGTTTAGTATAAGACAGTTGTTTTGTCAGTGAACCTTGTGAGTTGTAATGGAGTTGAATTTTGTAACGTTACCTTTGTTAAATGTTGCTGTTGTCCCTGGCTTCAAAAGAGAAGAGGGAAAGTCTGCTAGCTGCTAGGCTAATTTGTACAATGTAAAATGCCATAGACTTGTGCTAAAAATATTAGCATGTTGTATTTGTGGGGAAAATTTGTCCAGCAAAAGACAAGTGTATGTCTGTGAATGCTGCGAGTTATAGTGAAGCTGATTCGTGTACTTGTGTTTGAAACTGCTGCTATTATGCCATGTTTAATGTGTGTTTAATGTGTGTTTTGATACAAATAAACTTTACAGCACTTCACAGAAACCCTGACGCCGACTAGTGTTTTGGAGGCATAACTGCACAGTGACACAGACACACCACCACACAGATAAAATAAGCTATGGCGTAGGCTCTGCATAGAGCTGACAAACAAGTATAAATCCCGTTTTACACTTTTTAAAGTCTGCTTTACAATTGAGACACATGCAGTTACCTTGAATCTGACCATTTCCATCTTGTAAGTGTAATCATTAAACATCCAAACTATTGAGCTTGTGGTGGAAAGATACAGAAATAACTCCTTGAGCTAATTTTAATAAATCAAACCCGCACGGCTCGACATTTATTGGACTTAAAACAATTAGAACTGAATAAGTATTTTCTCTTCCGCACATAAATGTGTTTCTGCTGCTAGAGGGCAGCTCAGATTATGTTTCCACTTAATGAACTCTAAAATGGATTAAAAAGGCAAATGAAATTCTGATTATGCTGTCCCTAAAAATCCTTGACAATTACGGTAAAACTGCAGAATGTAATGAATGTATATAGTCATAGATTACCGCAGCATGCACACAACACAAAGTACTTCAGATATACAGTATAGTGTGGTGCAGTGTTGCATTTGATGCAACTGTCACAGCAGAAGTGATTTTTGTGTGGATTTGTCAGCAGTGAACTTTTTGTCTCACTTTCTGACACATCCTCTGTGAACTTCTGCACTCTGGCTCAACCCCCACGATGATCTGTTAGGGAAAACAAAATCAATTGCTCTTTCTTTGTCTTCCTGTCTGAGTTACAGTCTGGAAACTAGAGTTGGTGAAGAGATGCTGGAGCTTTGAGCTGCAACAAACTAATTTGGCTCGGCTGTGAAACATCCAGGAAAGAACTTCATCCAGTATTAACAGAGGATCGATGCGGGTCTTTTGCTCCTGCAGAGATGTTTGAACTGAGTCGGTGAGCAGAAGCACGGCTCTAAATTAAACACCAGAGAGCCTTTAAAGGTCGACTTCATCTGTGGTCTCTTCCAGTTTTTCAAATGGTATCACCCACTCAGCGGTTAGCAGAAAGCGGTGACGTAGGTTGGGGCGCTGAAAATAATTATAACAAATGAAAGGAATAGTGATTTTTTGAAGTGGGGCTGTATGAGGTACTTATCCATAGTCAGTGTATTACCTACAGTAAATGGTGGTTGCCACGCTCCCAGTTTGAAGAGACAAGCAGGAGTTGACGTAGGCTTGGATATTTCTAGTTGCCTCTTTATCAGCTCTGCAAAATTTGTGCTAAATTTAGGCTCTTATGTCTATTTTGCAAGTACTGGCGGTGCTTTTTGTGTTTGGCTTTGGATGGTGGTGACGTGTGGCCTTGAGTGACTCATCTGGATGTGAAAATCAACTCACCTGTCTGTAAACTCTCCTCCTGCCTATTTTTAGCTAGCCAGGTTCTGGCTTTCAGATGCAAACATCAGTAAACATTTAGGAGAGGAAGGAGAAGATGCATCAGCTGAACTAGAGTCCTAGTGAAAGAAGGAGAGGAGCCAAGTGCTTTGCGGTGAATAAGTACTGATGTGTTGGTGGGAATGTGAGGTGCTGTACCGATCACTGCTGCCTGTGTTCAGGAGAAGCGACCTTACAGCCATCAGCCACAATCAGGACCATCGAGAAACAATGTCAGAAGACGCAAAAAGGACTAAATTATTACAGTGAAAAACTTAAAGGAGCTGATGGGATCTCGTGTCACTGGAGTTGTGCTTTGTATAATTCCATGTGACAAACAAATGATTGATGAGTAGCACCAAAACATCTGGGTAATGTATTTCTGTCAACAGGGGCAGCAGCAAAACGTATTTTTAGCCACTTAAAAAACTCGAAACCAGTGCAATATCAAGTGTACACTATATTTAGAATATTTTTAGCACATTACCTTGCCATTAGCCCTTTCCTACGGGGAACAGAGGACGTCATATTGCTCCTCAAAGCCACCAGAGTCCTTTGACAGACATAGTTACTTAACTTCGCAGAACACAGGGGTTCCCAGTCTACAGCTGCCTGGATCAGTTTGTTTGTTTTGTGTTACTGTTCAACTTTCGGATCCAAACTTACATGGCTTCCACAGCAGTGTGTGTTGGTAGCTTCTGCACCAGGTAGGGGATTAGAGGAATAAAGCTAATTTGAAAGATTGTTAGCAGATAATTCTCAAAGACGGTTGGGCGCTGTCACAAAGAAGCACTTATTTGTAGCAACGTCATCATGCACAAACCTACATTAAGTGACATGAGAAAACATTTTCAGAAGGACTTCGGAAAACGGCATTTTGATGCTAAAACATACTTCGACCAAGGTTTGAATGCTCAGATATGAATTCATAACGAAACACTACTGGGAAGTGACAAAATAATATAAAAACCTCAAAAATAAATAAATAAAATGAAATAAAAAATTGGACCTGCCTTTAAGAAAAGTAAAAGTTGATTTGTTGTTGGTTTTTACTATTTACTATATTATACTTAAAAATGTTTTGATCTTTCCAGCATTTAGTTGTGTGCTAAACGTAAGCATTTTTGAAATGTGGCCTCTTTTCCGGGAGATAATGCAAAAACAAAAATCTCTCAAGTCTAGAGGCTGATTGGTTAACTTGCGTTATTAATAAACTAATACAATCCATTCAATATTTATGCAGGTTAGAAGTCGGCTCAGTGGAGGAATGCAGACTTCTGCAGCTGCTAGTTTAGAAATTCTGAAAGCATGAAGTTGCTTTACAAATATCAAACATCAGCCCTGATGCATTAATCTCCCATCATGCCTCTCTGTCAACCTTACCTTCTGACTGATGTGGACTTGGAGGAGAACGTTCCTGTAGCTGTGGCCGTCGTTGACTTGCAGCACTGTGCCGTCCTCCGTCCCCTCTGAGCCGTCGTGAATGTACTGGATCTGCTCTCGTGACAGCTCCTCCAGCTTGAATCGACTGAGAGCCCGGTCGCCATGGACACGAGTCAGCCGACCATGGCGGGGCGGTTCAAGGACCATGACCAGGACATCGGCTGGGTTGTCGGGGTCGTCGACCTGCAGGACCGACTTGGTTATGGTTGCCAGTGCGCCACGGCCCTCCACGGGGAGAGGAGCGAGAGTCACGACCCTCGGAGGCTAGAAATGATCAAAAGAAAAAAGGAGGAGAGGTTGGGAGTGAGAACATGCTTTGATTATAATCAGACAGATACGACAGAGACAGACAGATTAGATTCAGACAGACAGACGGGCGGATCCTTCAAACACCTTGTTTTCATGGTAAAAAGCAAAGTTTCAGTGACAGTGTGAAACTTTCAAAGCCTGGCTGAGAGCACAGCAAGAGGACACAGCAATTTCTTCCAAATTGTCAGATGATGAATTTTCTCCCAGAGGGTCGGGGCGTGGGAGGCCGTGGCGTCCTGCCGTTGAGGGAGATGAAGAAGATGAAGGTGAGGTTAAGCAGGGTGCCTCATTAGGCTGCACTCAGCCATACCTGAAGCCTCACCGCGACGGGAGAAAAGCTTCATCTTGCTAACAAAGTCATTTCAGGAGCACTGGTGAGAGCAGAAGGCCTCCTATTGTGAGCAAGGGTATGACTTTATCCGGAGCTCACTATGTGTCTGTCTCCGTCTGTGTCTGTACCTCTGTGCTCGTGTAAAAGGGACCGAGGATTAGAAGTGCAGAGTGTGAATACTTCAAGGTAAAGTCATTTTCACTGGCCCTCCATACTTTGAGAAACTAATCTGAATTTAAGCAAGACTTCCTTGGTTTTTTGTTCAATATCAATTTACCTACTTCACTGAAGAGCACCTGTCGAGTCAGAGCCTTGTTTACCCAAGCAGCGCTTCCTTCCTTCTTTCTTTTTCAATAATCTGAATTTAGGTTTGTACGAATATTTGCTTTTTAAAAAGTCATTGAACTCCACTGAGTCATATCTCTGATGTCACTGTGTAGTATAAACTTGGACTCAGACATTTGAAAGTGTCCCCTGTGGTGCCAAACCCACTGAGAATCAACACAAACTCTGCAGCTGTATGCAGCTTTTACCTCATTTAGCTCATTGTTTTTGTTCTACAGCTACACCAACTGTGTGGTTGAGTCACCAAGGCTCTTATTAACCCCCAAATAAAACTGTACTCAGCTGTGTCCAGAAATCAAGCACTGATAAACCCACAGTATGGTAACAACACAGCACCAAACGACAAACCAGAGCTAAAAGACGACTGAATAATGGACTTATAATCATCTGGTGGACACAGACATGACGCCAGATTAATGGTAATGTTGCTCTGTGTCTGCAGGATGTGTAAAAAGGCAACATTCTGCTAACAGCTTGGACAAAACAGCCGCCAACAGGGTGGTTTCTCTGTGTTTGTCTTAAGCCCAGTTCAGACAAAAGATTCATGACGGGACGAAACTGTTTCAGAGCGTTGCAGAGCACAGTTGCAGCCGTGTGAATTGGCCAGTCTCAACTCGACTCAAGCTGGCTGACAGTGTCACCTGCAACTCAGCTGGTTAAATCGCCCGCAGCTGGTTTTAGAACGTAAAGCATGTCACTGGTTTCAACAGCAAATCATCCCCGCCAAGCTGTCTGCTTGGTCCTCACGGTGTGCCGGTGTCGGCTGGTGGGTCGCTGCTTCTGCTCACTGTATGTGCTTATAAATCACTTATTGGTGTTTTAATGTTTAGTATATAGTTATGATTTGTTTTATACATCTGTATGTATAGAGAATACTTGAATAGACACACTATATTAAGTTCAAACAAGTGTTGATAAGCTTTGAAACATTAAAGAAAATGTGAGAGGTACTTTTATGTCCTTCAACAACTTTTAAACATACATGATCTTTTGAGCTTAGAGTTTATGTTGATATCAGTCAATGAAAGATTCTCGTGAGATAGGAGGTGCTTTTGCATTTTCTGTGTGTCTGTGTTTGAACATCTGACACAGTAAACAACAAAGAAATACAAAAAACACAAAGCCTAAGGGCCAAAAAAATGCCTTGATGCAGTTTATTTTAATACGAATCTCAGCCAGAAGTCGTTGGCTGGGCAGCTTGGCAGCAATGGAGGAGCAGGTAGAGAGGCATGGGCTGTCCCCTGCGTAGACGCCACTCTGCTGTGGCCCTAAATCAAACCAGTTGTCAGGCAGGGAGCTCCGAGACGCTCAGCAGGGCTCGGGTCCAATTCGTTGCCCTCGACGGCTGTTGGCTGAGCTCCAGCTCTTTGCCATTACAGCAGCAGCTTAAGCAAAGGGGGGACGTATGAAACAAGCTGGCACCAGAGAGAGAAATGACTCCTGGGAAGTCATACACACACTCTCTCCGTGTCTCTTCAAACCAAAGTGACCTCTGGCTGAAGACACAAGACACAGATCTGAAACACAGCTTACAAACACAGAGGGAGCGTGTTGTTATCCAGCCCCTTGCTCGTTTTGTTCTGTTGGGGGCCGTTTGGTGACAAATTTTTAGACGTCAAAGGAATTATCTTGGAGAGACAGGCAACTGGGCCCTCGGGCACCCACCTAAACCCTGTGTCGTCACTTCAATTCGTAGGAGGAAAACAAAGGGTTTTGGATGTGCTGGCGGGGGCTGAAAGTGGGTGTGTGTGCCGCTTTTAAATCGTGCTAAGACATGCCTCCTCACTAAAGGCAACCAGCGAAATCTCCCCCGAGGCAGACGAAAACAAACACAAACACACTCAGGTAGGAGGGCTAACCTTTCATCCTCACCTCACAGGTGAGGGAGAGGTGAGGTTCATATTTAGGAGAAAGCTGTCATCACCCGTGGGGCCTGTGGGGGCTCTGCAGCCTTTCAAAAAGATGAAAAAAACTACCTTTTTTTTTTGGTGCTGCTTCCTGGTTGTTATTTTGTTTTGTTTTTCCTGCTGTGATCGCGCTGGATGGTATTCAGAGGCACGACGGGCAGAGTGTTTCCCAAGTCGATTCTATCACCCTGTCTGCCTGTGCGCCCCTCGGTTTGTAACAATGCCTTTTATCTGCAGCTCATGTTTGTGTGTCAAGCAGTCACACATCACACTGTAAACCTGGAACTATGGTAAAAACGCTGCACTGAGGTGTAATCATTATGGTGTTACATGCCATTTTGATCTAGATTATAGACTTCACACTCTTTTGACTTCTTAGATAACATTAGATAAGATAGAATTTTATCTTTTCCGAGGGACATTGCTGTGCAGCAGTTGCAATACAAACGGTGACACTAGAGATGCACCAGTTCATTGACCTAACATCGGTACTGGCCGATATTCACTTTGTTCACTGCCATCAGCCTATCGGCCTATAAGATGACATCCACTGATGTCAGTGGCTGACGTTTTTCAGTTGCGTCACATCAGTTTTGCGCAGGCTAAAAAGCAGGGCTTGAATCTAACAGTGTCCCTTCATCCTGGGGACAGTGGAAAACATGTCTGTTTGTCCCAGACATCTTCCCTGGGATGCCATCAGGACAAAATGACACAGTAAACTCACTACTGATGCATTAGGAGATGCACCCTGTTGTTCCCCTGGTCATGCTACATTGTGAACAAAAAAATCTGTGTTAGCTGATAGCAGTTAGCAGCCAGTGGCCGGAACTTACAGCTAACTGAAATTGGAACTGCAGAGTTACATGATGATGCGTTCAAGCTCTGTTCAGTAAAAATGAGTGTTGGGCAAAAGTAAATTATTAGTCCTCAAGGTGTGTTCAAATATAATCTTGTAAAATGTAGATTTTGGGGAGAAACTTGAATAAATACAGCAAATTTGTTGATGTTTTCACAATTATATATAATAGACAATAGAAAGGGTGTTACAATACATTGTATTTAGGAAAAAGGCTTTAGATGCAGTTATTTTTAAATGATGTTTTTCATGTGAAAGTGGCAGGGGTGGGCTGGCCATAGGGAGGTTAGGGAGTATTCCCGAACGGCCAGTCTGTTTCAGGCCGAACCGGCCGGTGGTTGGAACGTTTTTTTTACCCCATAAAACGCAGCCACGGTTGCCCGCAGCAGCCTGCCCTCGCAGCCGCAGGTGGCAGTGGCACAGAGTGGAACATCAGACTGGGTTAATCTAACATTTTGCATATGTAGGCTGACCAAACGTACTCTTTTGCCCGGACATGTCCACTTTTCATGTCCTGCCCTGGGGGTGATGATAATGTCCGGTTTTCCGTGTGTTTGTGTGTGTGTGTGTGTTAGAGTGCGGCATGGGCAGCATATTTCTGTCCGAACCCGAACCAAGCCTGACATTATTTAATGACCAAAGCACTGAGTTCGTGTCACACAGTGGTTACAGGATATTTAACAGGCCAGGTGTGCACCGTGGGTGCTCAGCTGCAGAGAGGGAGACCTCCGTGTTTGAGACAGAAGCGGGAGGCGGGAGGTCCGAGGCTTCCAGCGAGGGGAGAGGGAGAAATAAAAAAAATAAGATAAAATAGGAAAAACCTGTCTCCCTCTTTTATTTTATTTTCAGCGTTTAATCAAGGCGGAAGCTGGTGGCGGAAGGTCCGAGGCTTTCAGCGAGGGGAGAGGTAAAAATATAACAAAATAAGATAAAATAGGAAAAACTTCTCCCTCTTTTATTTAATTTTCAGCGTTTAATCAAGGCGGAGGCTGGTGGAGGAAGGTCCGAGGCTTCCAGCGAGGGGAGAGGTAGAAACAGTCAATGTGTGTCTGTGTGTGTTATGTTCAGGTGTTGTCACGTAAATAACAGTGCCCAAGTAATAAACAGGACAGACAATAGGATTTTATTTATTTTTACACTACATTTTCACTGAAAGCTGACCGAATCCGACCCGAGCCCAAATACAATTTATAGCTACATTTTTGACCAAACCCGGCAGACCCGTCGGGACCCGTTGGGCTCGGATCGCCACACTCTAGTGTGTGTATGTGTCCCCTATTGGGGCCTATCTGAATTTCTGTCTTTGAGAGATATTATTTTGTAATATAACTGAATTTTCTATCCATACATATAAATTTTGAATATATTAAAATTATAAGGCATCTTTGAGTAAACTGTGAGTATCATTTAAGTAGGCTATGTCGTGGCCGGCCGAGTGTCCTCTTTTTTGGAAATCAAAATATGGTCATCCTATATTAAGGGGGGATACAAGCGGTTAGCAAGCACTGCCTACATG